GGAGTTATTTCTCCCTTCTGTTAGATGACAGCTTTGATCATGACAGAAAATCACCAGGAAATGCCTATGTGGCAATGGCTGAGGGGGTGCCTATGCAATGGATTTCCATAGCATTTCATCTTCCTTGCATTTTTATCCCTAGTGAACAGATGTGCCACATCTGAAACAGATTTGTTTTCCATTCAGCTACTTATTTTTAGAAATAGTTTTCCTCCTTTCTTTCAGTATAGAAATTGTGGGAAAAGAAGCTTCACCACTCCCCTTTGGTGACATGTACAGAGTTGCGGGGGAACCACATCAGTTGCATCAGTGCTGGGGAAAGGTTTGCTGTTGGCAGAGGACACCAAAAACCTGTGTATGTCTACTGATATTCAGGAAAGTGGGTAAAAAATTGCAGCCCCCCTCCCCCCATGTGTGTTTCCTTTAGAAGGGCATATATATGCACTAGCAGTTCTGTGCACAAGTAAGCTGAACTGACAAGGCATCTGTGAGAGTGGAAAAGGTTTCCCAACCTTATCAGTTTCTCTGGAGAGTGGGGCAAAGTATGGGGAAAGCAAGAAAGAAATGTTTTCCGTTGAGAAGGACAGCGATAGAACTGCATCAGTCTAACTGCAGGACTCTAATAGCAACGGTATGGTCCGTAAGTGTGAGATTATCTTTCCTAGGGTGACATTGAAGTTTTGTGGGCAAATCTTTTTGTGAGGAAAAGGGGGATTCAGGAAGTCCAGGACATGCTTGGAGAGGGCCCTTCAAAGCGCATCCTTTTGCATGAGTTTGCTTTCCATTCACGGTCCCTCTAACACAATATCCCAGCCAATCATGGCTGAAGTTCCAAATGTGATGTCACCATGCAAGGAAACCAAACATATTGGCATTGTGACATAGCCAATGGGGGATAAAAATAATAGATTCAGAGTGAGGTCAAGGCTGCCTGCAATACTCTAGAATGGCATGGCTAAGAAATGTATGCTAAATACCAGCAGGGAAAGGAGTACAGCCTCCAACACAATGACGTCCCAGGGCTGTTATTCTGAGCACTTGCCAAGTGTTTTACATATTTCTGAAGCATTTTGGACTTGGATTGGGGAAGCCATCCAGTAGAGCAGCTTGTGAAGTGAGATGACATCAATAAATATAAGCTCAACAGGTAAGCATGTGGAGAGTCTCAGGTGCAGCTGGGCTCTGCAGAACCCAAATAGTTGTGGATTCAAATACTAATGGCATGGAAGTGGACATCTCAGACTCCTTTGCAAGAAACTTTCATACAGTGGCATACAGAAACCTTTTAAATCCCAAGCTCCTTTCATCCCAAACCAGAATGGGACCATAGGGCACTGGGAATGTAGTTATAGATCATCAAAACCCTCCTCAAAGAACCATCAAGCAACCCAGATCTTGCCTGACAAAGTCTCTCAAAGAAAGCTTCACCAGCCTCAGGACCATATCCATTTGTCATGCTCTAGCCTGGAGCCCAGTTAAGCTCCTTGCATGGAAAGAGAGCTTGGTGGTAAGCAATGGCGATCAAGGCACTGCACATTTTCCCCTTTCTCACTTCTAAGAGTGGGTAAAATTGTTCGTGTAGCTTTCAGTATAATATTTGAATTTTTAAACAGTCCCAAGGGTTTTTTCCCATCCCAAATATGAAGCAATTTGCAAATGATGGCAAGCGCATTTAAAAAAAAACCTAACTGAAACAAAATAGTCACCCATCTGCACTGGGCAAATTCATTAGGTATAACATGTTATATCTCTCTGCCATGTAGCTGTTAAAGATGAGGAGCCTGTAAAAAAGAAAAAGTGGAGGCAGCCCAAATTCAGCACTAACGTGGTTAAATTGACAGGATACTCAAACCCAGCTTTTAAAGCTGAGTGCTCAGAGCTCTGGCTCCGGATGGATGACTGTTATTTCAGTTCTTCCCACACTCGGTTTGCTTAACCCCATGGTGTTTCCATTCCAAATATTAACAAATTTGCAAATTTGGCAAAATCACCATAGAAACAAACTGAAGCAAGATGCATACTCTTCCCTAACAATTCCTACTCATTCCTGGAGCCCAATTCCCTTCCAGTTTGCTGCCCAGAAGGGATTGTTGCTGAACAGTGTCTAAAACACATGAGAAGTGTGAGGGTACGCACCACCTGAAGGAGTGGCAGTCTTGACCTCCCCAGGTGAGAAAAGGTGAAGGAACTAAGGAAGGGGCCCCAGGTGAGTGCTGCCGGGAAGACTGCCTCAAATAAGATGAATGGCTGGCTGCAAACTGATGTGTGTATATTAACTGTAGAGACCCCATGTTGCCTTCCATACTGGGACTGTAGTGCTTTCTTTTCCTTCCTGTTTGATTTTAAGCTGTTGAGTTAGACCAAGTTTATTTGCATGGAAAGGCAGATGGATCACTTATCTGATTATTGACAGTATGGTTATATAATCGTTCACATTATTTTTGAAGTGTTGTATTATTCCTGTTCATATGTTATGAGCCGCTTTTTATTTGTAGAATGAAATAAAATAATGGTATGAGGAAACTCTGGCCAATATAATCATATTGTGCCAGGACTTTGCCATCTGGTTACCATGTTGGTCCACACAAAGTAAATACTTTTATTAGGAATTCTGGTTGGTCCTAATACAGGGACTGAACTAAGCATTGTGGTATTTTATGATGTGTGATTGCAGGAAACTTAATACTGCAACATTTGCTGTTGATTTTAGGATTTCACGAAGTTAGCCCCAAATAATGGTGTTCTAGAATCCCAGAAACCATCCAAGTAAAGCATTTGAAATAAAATGAGTCGCCTTGGGTGGTGGTTCTCTGTTTTGTCACCTAGTCTGGGAGCCGGAAGCAGTAAAGCCATGCCCTCTAGTTGTGTTCAGTACTGCTGTGCTTGTTAGCGATGGAAGCAAGTGAGGATTTACTCAGCAGTAAATCCCACTATGTTTAATGGGGATCACTCCCTAGTAATTCTGTAAGTTTGCAATAAGTCTGTAATAACTATGGGTTGTTACAGTCTGCTCTAATTGTCATCATGCCATTTTGCTCCACAACCAGTGAAGCCCATTCAATGCTATCCAGGGACAGATTTTAATGCAGAGTAGATTTGCCTTTTTTAAATACCAAGGCATACAACAGTATTGGATTAACTGGCCTAAGGAAAACAGCCCCCCCCCCCGAAGCAGCAAGAGCAACAGCCATTTCCGTGCCTACAGATGAGATATAGAATCCATCTGGGGGCAGCTATAGTAGAGCACAACATCTGTTGATCATTGGCAACACTCTGGCAGTGCTCCCAAAAATCCAAGCAGCCTTCTCACTTCAGACCTGAGACATGCAGACGTCTGCACTCCACCAGCCCAGCCCTTCTAAGTCTGTAGCTTCACTTGATTAAGCCTATGAGCTCTACGAACAAGGGGGAGCAGAAATTCTCTACTGTTATGGATGGATCTCATGTGCTACCTCAAGGACAAGGTCAGATGAGATGAGCAGAAAGCACAATAGAGTTCTTCAGGAATTCTGCAATTGTTTCCTTAACCACACACTAGGTTTTTTTCTAGGACCCATTCTAGACAAAGAGACACAATTCTTTATTTTTAAGTGAAAATGCTGAGGATGGAGAAGTTTGGTTTCACAATAGAGAGACAGCTGCTTAATTCAGAGTACACTGTCAGGAATTCTGCAGCACCAGAATTCTATGCATGCTAGATATTAATGCCAAAGGATGAACAGTGCTTTGATTACTTAGATCTGCATTTTTCTCTCTAGACTTCAGATTTCCTTTTAGTTTCAGAACCTCATTTGCACTTCATTTGCCTGATATTTCAATGAAAAATAAGGGGCACTGCAAAGGTAGATGGAGGACAAAGACTCCCAAAGGATCCACCTTTGTCCTCTTTCCCAATACTATGACCATTCATAGAAAATGGAATTGATGGTTCAAAACCTGCCATTGTTCAACTATTTGGGACTCTGCTCAAGATGATTGTGCTCAGTGAAGGGTGTGTCTGTCATGTATAGGAGCTCCTGTGATTAACCTTATCCTGAATCCAAGTTCTTAAGTCAATTCTTAGCATGTCAAGTGGCCATGTGAGTTTTCCAATGTAGGTTAAGCTTGTCATCAATCCCCCCCAAACCACATTTGGATGATCTTGACATGTCTTGCAGCATTTTACAATACAAATCAGCATGCCAAGTTCCAACTTAGAGTATCTTCACAATGGGAAAAAAAATCAGTTGTCTGAATTGGTCTGGAAAAGGGTTTTGTTGTTGGAGGGTTTTACCCCTGTACCTCTCATAATAACACATCTTCATAACACATAACATAATAGCGCATCTCCATTTGCTTTAATGTGTCTAATGAAAACTATTAAAATGCAAGGATGAAGTTGCTATTCTGAGACAGAAAGATTGGTTATTCAGGTTGCAATCCTGTATGTGCATCTTCAGAGCAGACAAGCATAAGCATACAGTATACACTGGCTGACAAATTATATTTGATTTTCCTTTAATTCTGAAAACAACACAGCTGGTGTGATTTTTTTAAGCCTCAACAATGCAAGTTTTGAATGAGAAATGCCTGCACCTGTCTTTGAAGTAAAATATCCACTCTCCAAGTGATCACTGTTGCAATTCCTAGACATCTGACAGCCATGAGTTTACCCAGTGCACAAATATTTTTCTTGCACACCATCTTTCACTACTACTCCGGTCTTTCAAGCATGTCAAAGCATGTCTCAATCTCTTCTTTTTAAAAAGCTTGTATCACTGAAATGTAGACCCCCTCAGAACTGGTTATTGCCATACTCCTGAGCCAAAGTGGACCATTTGTTACCTATGAAGCAATGAAGCAAAGGAAGGGGGGATCGGAAGGTGAGCTCAGCACAACTTCACCAGAGTCCCTGCCATTTGGCCAGCCCCTTCGCTGGAATGTTAAGCGCCTTTTGGCCCTCGGTTTCCCATCCGACAGACAGACAGACAAAAGAGCCAAATAAAATGAGCCAGACTTACTGCAATCGCTTGCAGCCTTTCCTTGTGCAATTCAGCCTCCGCCATCCTGGGAGAGGGAAGGATGCAGCAACGAGAGAAGGGTGGGGAACGAAGAAGAAAAAGAAGAAGATACTGCAGTCCCCACGGAGTAGCTGGGCGAGCAAAGCCACGCGGTATCCTTGCAAAAATTAAAATACGAGCAGGCACAACTGGGAAGACCCTGCAGACTGGCTCACGGGAAGATCATGTCAGGCGCTGGGACTGGGCTGGTGCCTGCCTGCCTCCTGTCTCCCAGCTGCAAGGCTGTTGCTAGCTGCGCTTCATCGCCGCTGCTGCTGCTGCGGCGGCTGCGGCGGCAGCGTGTTGCCACTTTCACACAAGCCATCGATGTGTTCTCCAGCAGCCCAGGCAAGGAGATGGCTCGCGTGGCTCTTTTCCACGCCCGCCCGCCCCCAGGCCTCCCTCCCCCTCCCTCGCTCTTTCGCCTTGTCGTTTTACAGCGTGCTCGCTCCTCCTCTGGAGTGCGGGTCACACCAAGAAGGCTCGACAGCAGCGCGCACATAGTAATCAGAACCCGCGCCAAACGGCGGGGCAAGGCAAGGCAAGGCGCCGCCGCGTTACTACGGCGGGCGGCGGCTGCGGCAGCGCCTTACGAGAGCGGGGGGGGGGGGAGGCGCCAAGGTGGGACTCGGCCGAGGCGAGCTAAGGACGTGGCATGCGCCGCTCAGGAACCGATTCGGGCATGCGGATCCCCAGCTGTCAGGGGCTGTGGAGCCGTCTTCGAAAAGGGAGAAACGGGAGCCGAAGATGACGCAGGACTGGCCTCGCCGACTGCTGGGCGATCTCCCGGGGCTTAAGCCACGCGTGAAGCGGCGCGGCGCGCCCTGCTTCGGTTTGCAAAGCGAAGCGGCCCGCGGGAGTCGAGGTCCCGACGAATGAAGGCGGCGCAGGGAAAGATTTGCTGGGGCCGCTCCTAATTTTTAGGCACGGGGGAGGGAGATGCGGAACTCATCTCTTTCATGCTACAGGTTAAACAAACAACCGGTGGGGATTTGGGGCTAAAAAAGGACGGGGGAGAAGGTTAAATGGAACACCTCTCCAGTCTTTTAACCCCAGAGGCATCCTCCCCAATCTGGCACCTTCCAGGGGCGCTGGTCCGCAAATACCACCATCCCCAGCCAATGGTGATGCTGGCTGGGGATGGTGGTAACTGTAGTCCAAAGCACCTGGAGGGCGCCATGTTGGGTGTGGCTGCCCCAAGGGAACAGGACAAGTTACTGCCTGTCCCTGCCTCATTTGAACGAGGCAACATACTGAACAGAGGGGAAAAGGCGTCCTTTGATTTTGTGCACAGAGGAAGAATGCCTCCAGCCCAAGCCCCACCGAAATGAATGGGAACTGGACAAGAGGCACCCATCCTCATTCCCTTTAGCTCAGCGACACCCTCAACCTGATTCTGAATTCATTTGTGGAACAGTATGAAGCAAGATATGCGAGGCACACATTAAAACTCCACTGCACCCTTCCTGAGATTGCCAGATTTGGGTTTTTAATATTGATTAATGTATATATTTTGAACTGCAGTGCCTAGTAGACTCCAAATGGGGGAGTTGCACAGGAAGTTGGATGTACTACTAAGATCCCTTAGCCCTGCAACCTCCTTGCTCTTGGTATCTTTGGCTTACCACTTCTCATATGGGCAGAAGAACCAGATATGCACATGCTCATGAGGAAGCAACATAGCAGGGGCAAGCTCAGCATTCCGATCCCTTAGGCTGCAATTCTGTATTTACTTGGCAGTAAGCCCCATTGAATTCAACACAACTTATTCCTGACACGTAACATAAATGTATAGGATTGTGTTGTTAGTGCTAATATGTGGGTTGCAGAAACTGAAAAAGGCTGGTATTATACACACAGATCTAGCTTTCTGCAGATGGTTTGGGGGAGAGGAGAAGGCAAGACAATAAATTCTGGTATTTTGTGGAGACAGAAGAAATAGGAAGGTAAGTTATAAAGGGTCAAGTAATAACTATGTACATTCAGTTTTTGTTTTTTCATCTTTTCAAGCTACTTTTTAGAGCAATCCCTAAACAATACAGAGCCGGGGGTCAGACTAGATGGCCCAGGAGGCCCCTTCTGACTTGCTCTGTTTCTATGTTTCTAATAGTTCTGACTGCTAGGCAAATGGGCAAACCACCAAGGTCCCTGATGGCTTGGCAACTGGCATACGCCAGAGCTGCTCAACAGAATGTGATGTCCTCCTTGGCCTAGTAAGTCATGTGAGGGGGTGTCATGCAGAGGAGGGAAGAGACTGTTTTGCCCTGCAAAGGAGGACAGGACGCGCTCCAACGGAGCAGAGCTCAGGGAGCCCAGGTTCACTCTGGATGCCAAGAAGCACTTCCTGTCAGTGAGGACCCCTATGGTATGGGATGGGCTTCCACGGGAGGTGGTTGAGGCCCCATTGGTGAGGATGTTCAAAGATAGGCTGGACATGCACACAGGCATGTCATGAGGAGCCGGCTGGAGCTGGGGGATCAGGTTAGATGGTCCAGGAGGTCCCTTCTGACTTGCTCTCTTTCTATGTCATCTTACCAAACAGTTGTGCACATTTGTGCACAATGTTTTATATTACTATTTTAAATGGTTATCTCTACAAGCATTGAGAGTTTCCAGGTAAGCAAAGGTCAGCTACCCTTCAGAAGAAGCAACTGGGAAGAAAATTGGAATGTAGCCTGAAAGTTTGCATTAACATTTGTCAGACTGTAATCACAGCACATTTCTATTCCCATCCATCAGTAAAGAGCCAGGATGGAAAGATGTTATACCACAATTCATCCAGGTGAAAGCCAAGATGAATACCTCAATCCAGCAAGAAAGATCTGCCTTCCACAGATGTTTCTGATCAAGAAACATTTCAATGCTCATCCCTTTCCACATCACAAGGCACATCTGAAATCTAGTGCATTGGCTGCATGCATCATTTGATCTGAATAGCGTGTATCTGTTGGTGTTGTTCTGCATTTATGGCCATCCATTTTTGACCTACATGTGACTAATTGCATGTGGGAACAAATCAGGGCCAGATATCTATTAAGTCACTTGATTTCAAATTCTATCTCCTCTTTTATTTTAGCATCAATGCGCACTTTGTAAAATGCACCAAAATTAGGTCAGCTTCAGAGAGAACTTGCATATTTCCTACAGTCCTTTCCAACAGCTGAGACTTTCTCCCAACTGGCTGTCTGTGAATGGTTTGATACAATCTAGCCATGGGATCATCTTCACAACTTCAGCATCCAATTAGTTGGGCTATATTTTATTAATAAGTACAAACAGATTGAATTCTTCACAGCTGAGTTGTTTTTATTCTTTCGCAAGGAGCAGCCTGCTCAAGGAAATCCATTACACAATAGGTGCCCCAACACAAGCAAGTGACAGCATGGAATACTAGACTATTCTATTCCTGTGCCTGAGTACAAATGGCAGAGAGCCCGTTCAGACAAGAGACAGAATTAGAAACATTTGAGTGACTATGATTTTCTTCACCCTCCATCATCCAACAGGCAACCTGATCTGGAAGACTGGAAGGACTGGAAAGGAAGAATAAATGGTGCCTTCAAACCACTAAATTGATGCTTAGCTCCCCAATGAAAAGCTGATCCCATGCCATGTTCGGCAAAGCATGACAAACTAGAGATAGAGAGCTGAACTAGACACGATGATGACAGACCTGTGTGTAAGTGTTGTGTTATTGTCAAGTTAATATGAAGTGTGTGTGTGTGTGTGTGTGCAATTTCAAGCACAGCATGGGTGGCATGAAAGGAGAACTGAATTCTACTTCCAACAATACTTTCCCTGAAAATACTTTGCCCCAGCTGCTTTTATCTCCAGGATTTTCCTCCAGTTTATCTGAAGGGGAAAAGAACACATTTTGATTGAGAAGCAATGTGCATTTTTCAGAAGCATTTTGTCTGCATTTTTCTCCCTGTAGACCAAGGGTGAAATCCTATAGCCATTGCAACAAATGTAAGTCTTCAAACACAGAGACTTAAGAGCATCCAGTGCAAGGCATAAGGTGGTGATATTTGCCGCTACTTTGCCTTGTGCCTTGTGTTTTAGCTAAACATTTATTTTCCTCTGTCTAGATTTAGGGCCAGCAAGGGGGAGGGAAGGAACCTGGGGTGTCAGTTGGAACTGGCACCACTCCACAACCCCACCCTCTGTCACCTGCCCACCTTTCCTCCCTCCAAGGTAAGCTTGTGACCTCCAGAGAGTGCAGTTCTTTTTGTGAAGGGGTGATGCAGGGTTTTGGCTTGCAGTCTGAACACTGATGTTGGTGGATATTCTCATGGAACCTTAGCAGAGAAGTTCCTTGTGAAATTTGGAGAAGCAAAGCATCCACAAGATCTGCACATTAGTTTGGTACAACCTTCCCCAACGTGGTGCCCTCCAGATCTGTTGGTACCTGTGGGTGGGGATGATGGAAGTTGTTGGCCACCTCACTGGGGAGGGCTGGTCTGGGGGAGATGAATCATGTTTCTTTGTGTTGTATTGGTTAATGAAGACTGAATTTCCTATGCATCCGTAGAACAGAATGCAAAGATTTGGCCTTCTACTAGGTGTTTGAAGGCATACAGTTGCTAGAATGACAATATTTCAAAACTGAGGTGTCATTTCAGGGTTTGTATCTCCAGCATAGGGGCTCCTGGACAAGAAATTAAATAAAATTAATACCTGGACTTTTTTCAAAAGTTCAACCCCCCCCCCATTCTTGCAGTCTCCTCTTTTTATGAGGAAGATATCATGGACGTAGGCTCAAATAAATGATGTAATTCACTTTGGATTTGTTGTAAGAAGAAAGCAGGATATAAATCTAACAAAGGTGTTCAGGACAAAGACAAAGAAAAGTTAGATGGAGAGACTGCTGGCCATCTCTCTTTCTCTCTCTCAAATTACTGTGTGTTAACCATACTTCACTTTTGGCTCCATGAAGCTCTGAGGCCTCACCCATTTCTGACGTTTCAGGGGCTGAACCTCAGGAGTGAAGTATGAGCTGCCCCATGTGGTTTTGCTTTAAGTGTAGATTGGCTGTAATATGAGTTCTTCCTTCTTGCATGAAGACACACTCACCCTGTGTAGTACCGTTTGTTGTGGTTGCTCGCCAAGTGTTTGATGTTGAACAGCTGATGTCCAAAGGATAATCTCGAATAACCTTGGCTACTGCGTATAGCTTGACATCTTCACCTGCACTGACCTCACAGTCAGGTTAGTTCTACCTTCAACTCTTATCAAAGCCTTCCTTTGATAAGCTGGTGGCTGTGGTACCAAAGACACCCTGCCCAAGATGTTCTGCAACTTGGCCCTAAGCAACAATAATTCCAAAGAAAAATTACAAATACTCTTTGTGAAGCCTGGAGCACTTTTACCGGTGACTCCTGCCTTTCTGTATTACATGTTCCTTAGACTCACTAGCCAGGTCACCAGACTGAAATTCTGGCTCCTCCTCCTGTGAGTTTTCACAAATTCATAAGGCTCATCCTATTTTCTCCTTCATTTATTTGTCTAAACCAGTCTTTCCCAACACTGGTCCCCAGTTAGGTTTTGGGCTACAACTACCATTATTTCCAGCCATCTAGTATTGCCAAAGTTCAGGGATGATTGGAGTTGTCATCTAACAACAGCTGGAAATCCAAGGCTGGGAAAGCCCACTCTAAAAAGAGCAGTTGCTGGTGGGTCAACACAACAGGTTATTTTTAGATATAAACATTCTAATTTCTTCAGTTTGGCATAGCCACAGTTTGATGACTGTGAACACTTAGCGTGGGAAGAGGTGAGTGGAGTTTTTATTTTCTCAGAAAGTTAATGTGGCCCAAGCGAAAGAGGCATTTGGGATGTTTCATGACTGTGTTGCCAGTGCTATCATTTTGGTCTCCAATCCAGACCTTGAAGGTTGGTTGGTTGTTTTTTACAAAATTACCCAATTCACATCTCCTGAATGCACAGCCAAATGATGGAATCTGCAGAAATCCATACACTTCTGAACTTGTAATGCATCCTGCAGAAATCAGTCCTTTGACAATATGTGCACATTTGAAAAATGTGCAAAGAAAAGTGTCCAAATTTCCAATGCTTTAGTCAGTGGCTACATGCATCCAAAATGTGTATGTTTCAAATGCACATGTTCAATCGTGCATACAGTGATGCATACATAAACATGTGTATGAACTTTTGTATGGATTTAAGACTAATCAGTCAGTCAGTCACAAACTCTTGAGCCAGAAGGAGCTTCAGCTCAGAACTCATGCCCATCTTGGCACGATAAAGGCAGACAGACCTTTTGTCCCTATGCAGACCTGGCTGAAAAATTGCTAAAAGCTTTTCCATGTAAAACCCCCCAGTTAATCTGATTTGTGTCTGGTTTTAGCCTCTGTGACTGATAACAAGCAAAACCTATATTATCCCCATCCTGTGATGCAATCATTATTCCTTTCTGAGGAACAGAGAGAACATGGAGAGACAGCTGCACCATGTGACAAGAGGGTAACATTCCAAAAAGTGGGCCTTTAATGGAGGAAAGAATCCCCAGAGGCCTTTTATTTAGAATAGCTGAGTGAGAAGCCTTGTTGCACTCCCTCTGAGCTTTATTAAAGAGAACGTTAGCTACTGGAAGGAGAGCAGTGATAATGCAAGCTGGCCAAGAAGTAAACCACAGTCCTCCTCTATTTAGTGGCATTCTCCTGCATATATGCACGTATTTATTTATTCCTTTGATTTGTATCCTGCTATTCCACCAAGAAAATGGTGCTCAGGGTGGCTAACAATACTAAGAACCAAAATTTAAAATGAAAGCAAAAGCAAGAATAAATCAAATGCATTGAAAACACAATTAAAACAACAATGAACAAAAGGAAATAATGCACCCAACCCAGTTGAACACATTTCAGCACCGGACCAGCAAAAGACTAGCTTGAACACAACTTATTTGGCTATAGGCAGAACAGCAGAAAACTTGCTTGGTAGGGAATTCCAAAGCCTGGGCAGCAGCCGTTGAAACGCCTTCACATCCCTGCCACACTTGCTTCTGATGGAAGCAGTTTAAGGAGAAGGGCTTAAAATCTGGATAGGCTTTGTATGGGAAGAGGTAGGAAGATTGAGGTAGCTTGGTCATGAGCCACATGGGGCGTTATAGGACATTCTAACATTATTCATGATGTATTCTTTCAGTGGCCATCTTATCCAAACGTAATGGTGCTAAACATTCAACTTCAGCCCCACACACCTAATAAAACTTTCCTCAGGACTCATTCATACAGGTAGCAGAATGAAGTAGTAATGTTTTTCTTGGATGCTCACAGGTTGAAAGCTTCTCTGCGGGAAAGGAACTCTGCATGGAAAGAAAACCATTTTCTGTCTTTTCTATGGGAAGGCAGCTGCTTTCCAGATTGCAGTGTACTTCCTACATACATGTCAGGCAACTTCAGCTGGTATAAAAAAGCATTGGCCAGACTGGGGTTTCAGGCTCTGTTCTTGAAGCACATAACTCTGATTCTGTTCCATCAGCGTGGGCTACCTGTTCACTTTGGGGTTGACTGACAGTGGTGATCATCTTCTGCCAAGTGTGTTTGGGGCCAGGGTATTTGAAAAGCCATGTTTTCTCTCTGGCTGATTCCTAGGTGACACCTTGCTTTGCACTTTTGTTGCCATGCAAATTTCAGTGAAGTGGCATGTGAGCACACATGCTCTTTTTTGCTGGAGCACACATGTTATAGAACTCCCTGCTTCAAGGGGCCTGATGACATCAGGAGAATGAGTCTTAAACCTGCCCGGCTGTTGTGCATTGTTGTGGTTTTAATGTGTAATCACATCATTTTTATATTAGAATTGTTGCTTGTTTTTAATGATGTGTACATTGCCTGGGATCCTGTAGATAAAGGGTGCCTTATACATCAGATAGACAGATCGATAGATAGATCAAGTTTTCCATTGGCACTGGGCTTTATTTGAGCTCTTTTTAAAAAATTGTGCATGAAATCCTATTTTTGTCTTGACATTCTGCCTTGGGGCCAAAAGATGGGGTAAAAATGTTTTGGAATAAATACATTAAAAATAGAGCTGCCAACAGACCAAAGGGGAAAAAAGAGCAATCTGGCTGTATTTCATGTCTTCAACAACAGTTTTTTCTTCAGAAACCAGCAGGCAAAGCTTGGTCCAGCTTGGTGATAAGCATTTTAATCCAATGTCTTCATATTAAAGGTGTTACTACATTAAATAGGAGGAAATTAGTGACCAGGTCTTCTACAGTTTGGGAGGGGGTATGTTTAATCCAAGCTATTTCCCCATCTCAAATTATGCCCCTCTACTGCCTGGATTTGTTTTTTCCTTCTATCATCGTCATCGTCATCATTTCTGTACCATCCAATCACCAAAGCTGTTTGAGCAGTTTATAACAATTCCATATTAGTGTAATACTTGATTAAACCAACTTAATATTTTCTTATGGCTAACACAGCTATCTTTATTTTTAGGCATCGCAACAGTAACTTAATGCTTTACTTTCACCCTGCTTCTCTTTTCTTTCTTCCCTTACATTTAGACAGCCACCAAGAGAGGAAATGGTATGTATATATGTGTGTGTGCATGTGCGCGCATGCATGTCTCTATCAGATAGCAAAGATTTATTTAATTTTCCCTGATGGCACAAGGGAGTGGCCATCAAGATCTGGCAAAGATGCAACAGTGCCAGTTGCCAGGAGCTTTTGTAAGAAGTGTTGTTATACCTTTGTCATCTTCATTTCACCTCATTACATGTCAGCAACACTCCTATTATTGAAAACCACAATAACAAGCAACGGAAGGTGTCAAGATACATGAAATCCTTTCACAAAACAATCCCACTTACTCCTATACAACTAACATTTTATTGTGCTCATCAACAAGTTACTTCACATTCTGCAGGTCCTCAATTTAAGGCACAATTAATGTGATTTATTATACATACATGGAATTCTAGCTGCTAGCTCACATCAGGGTCTGCAATACGAAAAGCAATACAGAGCCAACTAGAGCTTACAGCTCTAGTAAATCCCAGTGGGGCTAAATCCCAAGGCACTTCATACAAGGATTGCAGCCCAGTGGCTGAATTAGATCCACATTTCTTTAGAAGTAGGTAAGTTCCATGAAGTTATATCCAAGGGAGTGTAAACTTTGTTTCTCTCTATACCACCAGGAATGCCACACCCATAGGCCTTAACACATAGCTTTCGTTGCTTTTATCTCCTATAGCCCATGCTGTTCTAAGCCATCTAAGATAACATGCGATTGGCCATGCTGGCGCGGATGAAGGGAGTTGTAGTCCGACATTTCTGAAGGGTGCCAGGTTAGGGAAGGCTGTTTTGAGGTCTACTGCATCTTTGCACCCTGGAAAACTCTTTGCCGAGGGATCCTACTGGAGTATTCTCCTCCACTTCATGACCGCTGGCCTTCCTGCTCCATTGCTGGGCTTACCTGGTGATGGTGGCTGAAGTGACTGAGTCTCTGAAGATTCCTATTTGGGAAGATGGCCATTGTCTGGTGCAGCTCAGGACCAGTGGGTAGGTAGCGTCGTGTCTTACTTTACAGAGAACAGCCTCTATTGTGGATAGGCAGAAAAGGCCAGTCCTGATTTGAAGATGTGAGTGGGATCTCCAGTCCCTGTCAAATCATGAGGAAGAGCAGGGGCCTTGAAATTAGCAGACTGAATGGGAACACAGGTCACCAAGACAGACCAATACACTATGGTGTAAAGTATTGTAGCTGTATTCAAATGGTATCTGACTGATAGGTGTAAACTGGTATCCTGCAACAGCAAGGAGTTGGACCCAGTGGCCTTCATGGCTCCTCCCAACTCTACTACTCTATGATTCCATGATCATTGTGTGGTTAAAAGTGCTGGTCTGGGACAAGGTGATCCAGGTTCTAGTCCCTGCTCAGTCGTGGAGCACACGGGTGACTTTGGGCCAGGCGTAGCCTCTCAGCCCAACCTACCTCACAGGGCTGCTGTTGTGAGGCTAAGATTGAGAACAGCAGGAGAAGACTTATGTAAGCTGCTTTGAGTTCTTTAAAAAAGGAATAGGCAAGAGATAAATCTGCATTGCAACCATCATATTGATGAAAAGGTTAGCAGGAGGATTTGATTTTCAACAGTGAAAATATTAAAGAATGTGCATGGTCACTGTGATCCATAGGTAACAAGAAGGTTTTGAAGTATACTTGTTGATAACCATGAGATGTGTGTCAAGAAATGTTAATTTCCCAAAGCAACCATGTGTATATTTCTTGTGGTCCAAAATAAGAAAGTAAATATCCCCGTGCACCCAAAATATATAAAAGAAGTAATTTACATCTATAATTTAATTGTTATCCAGTCTGGATAAAGAAGGTGTGCCAAAGGTGTATAAAAAGTGTGACATTTCACATGGTTCTTTCTTGGTATCTCTTAATGGTAGCTACCTCTTTTGTCCAAGGTAACAAACCTTCTTGTTAGTATTTTTGTGTGGCAGGTACTTTACTTTGAAAGGACCAGTTCTGAACCAGAGAGGAGGTTTCAGCCTCTCATGAGACTAATTTTGGAAGTGCCACAACACCAATGTCCTCTTTTATTGGTGATAAAGTCCTCTTTCTTGGCATTGAGTAAAGGCAGTCAGCAGCAGTGGGCCTCGCCAGGATGCAGCAGACTCGGCCCCTGTTCAGGAGTGCCAGGTACTTCCAGTCAGTCCGGGGAAGAAATTGCAAAGTGCTTGGGCCCAGTTGCTTGAGAGTAAATTACATTAATCAGTGTACAATGAAATCTCAAGAACTAAAAGTTCGGTATAACCATGCTTTGGGAAAATCATCACTTCCTTATAATGTGCCTTGGATTTCAGTGCAAATATTAGAGCTTAATAATGCTCTGCATGGCCTGCAGTGAAATCCTCAAATCATTAGTGATTTTTGAGTAATGGAAATGGTGCATGCAATCATATGGCATGTAACCTTCACATCTATGATGAAAAATGGATTTCTGAGCATTACAGTTTGGTTGGAACCCTTGGGATGGCCACGCTTTGCCAAAAGCACACAGGAAAATGAACACAAAGATATTCTTGTTATTTTCCGGGTAAACAAAGAATGCACTGAGGGGGAAAAAGTGAGCAAATGTGACAGAGTAACAGAAATGCCAATTCTGTACAGGCACAAGGCCTGGTGGCAACTCAAACATTCTTGTTAAAATAGTACTATGAATGAAACACAGCTCACTTTAGAAAAAGTGCTGTGGAATATTGTTCTGCAGACCCCAACTAGACATTTAAGTTTCCAAATGGAGAAATTGGATGAATTGCTCTTATACCAGTTCATGACACTTTCCCTTATCTGTTCCTATTAGACTGTTCTGCATTAATCTGTGACATGAAAAACAAACAAACCTATAATGAATTTTGCATTTCAATACTTATTTCAATAGCTATTTTAAAATATATGTTCTGTTAAAATTTGCCCTTTAGGTGGAATGATTCTATTTGTGCAGGTGAGGAGATCTGAAGGTAAGGGACAAGCCTATCCAAGCCCTGCCAACTTGGGCAAGCAGGGCAGAGTGGGGAGAGGAATTGTGTTTTTCTTTTTTTTCTTGCTCTTTCTGGTGTTCTCTCCATTGATCTCAGTGGAGGAGAAATGAACCACACCAGCTCTGGAGTGAGTATATTTCTTTCAGGGGCATGTCATGGGCTAAGACCTTGCAAAGTCCCAGCTTCTCCTGATACTCCCAAGCAATATCCCTGTAGTACCTCATTTTTGTGTTTTTCAGTGATGGAGAAGCAGCATTGATGGAACGCCAGCTGAGGACCTTTCCACATTCTCCTAAAGGCTTGTCACGGACAGAGGAAGATCCTAAAAATCCCATGTCTCCTGGAATGCCCTCCTAGGAATCATAGGATTGCACCCTAAATTCCTACCCATTACTATTCTGAAATGTTTATGAGCGCATTGTGAGGAATAGAAAGTCTGCTCTGGGGATTATGAGACCTTATGGGAGAAGTGTGGGGTGCATGGGGACACAAGGGAGAGGAGGGCAAGAATTCTCAGCTCCCTTCTCTCCTCCACTCACAACATCTGCTCTTGCCTTAACTTGTTTTGGTAAGTTGCTCTGAGGAGGCTTTCTGCTTGGAAGGATAACATTAGAGATGTGTGAGGAATGAGGAATCTGCTTTGGGTGGAAAATCTGCTGGATTCTCTAGTTTTTGGCAGACTCCGGGAAGTCTGCAGCAGCCCAGAGTCTGAATTCCTGGTGAGCGTCCCCAGGGATTGTGTGGTGCCTGCCAGATACGGAGCCCCATGTGCTATTCAAACAGTGCCATTCTTCCACTCCTCCTGCTGCCACAGGCTGGCTGCCAGAAATGGTGGCTAGGGAAGGTTGCCAACCGTGCAACTAGGGGTCCATGGACACTCACAGATTTCTAGGCTTGGGTTGCTTCCTTAGAGAGGGATGAACACTGGAAGAAATCTGACAGGCAGGTCCAAAGCAGGTTCTGGAGAGGCTCAGCACATCCCTAGGGAGCTGTGCAGCTAATGGGGTAGGCAAGAAATCCGATCGACTGATCGATCGATCGATCAATCACTAACATCAGTCAGTGAAGAGAATAAAATTAAGCAGGTGGGAGCTAAATGGAGAAGGGACCAAATTCCAAATAGGTGTTGTCAAAAGGCTTGTGGGCCAGGTGGACATCAAGGCCACTGCTGAGGTTCTGCAGTAGAGGCCCACTAACAAAGTAATGAGGCCCGCTAACTGAGCCACCTGGAGCTGGTCCTGCTCTTCACTGCTGCTACCTGACTGCTCGCCTGCCTCGCTGATTGGTCCTGGCAGTGGTTGCAGAAGGCAGGAGGTGGGGCAGATGGCCTGGGCTGCTTCCCCCTGGTCTTCTGCCTGTTCAGTTAGCAAGTGGTACCAGGGAAGAGAAAGAAGATGAAGGGCAAGAACTGCTTATTACCTATAAAGCAGCTCACCTGATCCTGATCCCCCACCTACTTAAAGTAGTCAAGATGCAGTCCTATGGGGATGCCCATAACCCGCTGAATTCCAAGAAATACGGGCATCTTATGCTAGTAGTGCCTGGGTAAAGGTCACCTCCTCCCACCCTGCAAGACGGCTGAGTGGCTAATTTCAGCTGACTAACTGTAATGAAGGGGACTGAGGCACCTCCGGGTTATGTTGTGTCTTGATAGGATTGTTCTCATCCCTTCCCCCTTCCTCCAAACACCCCTTGAACCCCTTTTCCCTTCTGTGACCTTGGAGAAGCAGCTGATTCAGTTCTTGCCACTCCACCTGGAAGTGGGAGCAGGACTATCAAAAGGCATTGCTGGGACTCTAAAAAAAGTCTTTGGCATTTTAAGCAGTGTCTAGAGATTATAGGATCATTCTGTGAGTCTCGAAAACAGGAAGTGAAAAACTAATCTTTCATCTGTACTGGAGGAAGAACATGGAATGGGCAGACCGCAAGCCTAAGGCTTGCTGGTGCTAAAGTATGAAATACTAAACCATAGTTCAGCATTACAACCAAAAGCAGACTTTACTAGACCTGCAGCAAATCTCCTGTAGGGACTGGAAAGCTGAGGGATGCTCAAATGGGCCAATATTCTCCCAACTTCTCTTCAGACTTCAGTTTGGCTTGCTTCTGCCCTCATTTGTAAATTTTTGTGCTTTTTATTGTTGTTCATTCAGATGGAAAAGTGCATTTTTCAGAAAGGTACCTTTCCCCCTATTGATTAAAGCATGACTATGCACTGTTTTAAAAGTGTACAATTCTTAATGGGTGAATTGTTTAAGTGTGTACTTTTCCTCATTGACTGAAGTTTGAAAATAGGCATTTCTAAAAGTGTGCCTTTTTCAAAAGTACATTTTGCAAATGTAAATTCAGGTTTGGAAACCAGTGAACATTTCTGGAGAATATATCCCCATTCAATTTCATGTTTGGGATTTAAAGTGATATGCAACCTGACATGAAACGCTCATACTTCTCTTGTTGTCTTTACAGGTTGGTAGGAAGTTCTGAAGAAGTTGAGTAGGAAGGTTAATTGCTGCTGAATTTTGCCTAATTTTATCACAACTAATTCAATTTCTAGATATTTTTCTTCTCTTTTTCTAAACAAGGTCCCTCAATTATCCTCCAAGTCTTGCATTTGGACAAATTCAATAGCAGCTAGAGTTATAACCATCTTGAGAAATTGTCCTAAATTATATTTTTAAGTGAAATTGAGTTAGTCCCTTTCATGTACATCATCTGCAAGATTTAAGAAAAGGGAAATAAAACAGCATTTGAAAAGCTTAGTAAAAGTTCATAAAGCACTGAGCACATGTCTCCATTTTTATGCAAGCAATTTCATTGCTTCACTCTGCTGATCTTCTGGAACTGGCCTCTCCAAAGAAAAAGGACTGTGGCTCTTTAAAACCAATGGTTCATAGCCAGTTCCTGGAAAATGGCTTCCCCACAATGGGAGTTTAATGGAGCTTGAATCCAAGATCAGGGCTTTAGTGAATGAGCTAACTTTCACCCATCCCAGCCAAGCCGGCTAGTAAACAGGAATGAGCCACTGTTCTATTTCTGACAAGGCGGCCCACAGAGTTTGAAATGTAAAGATACAATATCTGTCCCGTTACTATGAGAGCTGGCCATAAAATATGCTGTAATCTTTGCCAGGGGTATGCTGTGCATTCCCCAGAGGATTTCCAACACTGGAGAGCACTTCAGAGTGCTTAACGAGCTGCTCAGGCGTTACCTTATAAGGCCCTTTAAGGCCTTACAGCATCGGGGAATGACAACCACTCCAAGTGGCCACCTTCTGGAAACAGATGACAGCAACCATTGACTCCGTGGTAGGGGCCAGGTTCATTCTAGCTGCATCGGACAGTTATCCTTTTAGCTCCTGTCATGATAACTGGCGTAAGAATGTGAGCCAGAAAAAGAAGAAGCAAGATATGATCCCCTGGATTTCCTCTGAATAATATTATCATGTTGTATTATCATGTCTGAGAGCATAGCCTCATTTTTACCTCCATGAGGACCTGAACTCTCATGTCAGTCTACATGTTTGTTTTTGATCATCAGCTTGCAGCTTCCAGGCCAAACATGGACTCACGTGCAATCTGGGGACAAAGTCCACACATTTCTGTGCTTGCAATGTCATCAGTGGGCCCCCAGATGTACTTGGCAGCATCTGAGCATTTTAAAAAAGCACATAGAAAAATGTGGACCCATTAAAAATGTGCACAAATATGCTTTAATCAAGGAAAGAAGAATGCCTATATTTCAAAAATACACCCAGGAGATGGGTACAAGGGGGGAAATAGACACAAATGCACGGATTTTCTTGTGGCAACACCCTGCCAGCTTGCAATCTGATACAGACCAAAGATGGAATGAGCTTCAAGATGAAAATTGGAGAACTTTAGTGAGCTTCAGTTATAGTTGTTTGCATACCCTAATCTGACCTCATGGGTTACCTCCATAGATGGTTACATTTTCCATGCACCCTGAGGATGGATACATTATCCATGCAGCTACAATCTAATGAGAAGCTTGCTTTAAGTAGAACACAAATGAGTCCTATGCATATAAAGCCTCTAATTTCATATCAGATTTCAGAGATATGCTGAGAGAAGGTTGCATGAATTTGAGGCTAGTGTTTGTGTGTGCTCTCTTGCACTCCCTTTCACACACACACAAGTGCACACTGCAGGGAGATAGATGCCCAGCCTGTGTGTGACTTGACCTCATCTGGGTGATTTACTGTAAAAAGATTTGGCTGGAATCCAGAATTGTTGTTCCACCGGTGGAACAGGACCGCTGTTGGAACAGCCCTTTCATGGTGTCTCCTTCTCCCTGCAGCCTTGTGTGCCTTCCAAATCTGCTCCAGAAGGATGTAGATTGGAAGTTTTCACTTCCTGTTTTCAGGTCTTAGTGATCCTGTGATCCCTGGTCACCATCTAGAGGGCTGCAGGTGTTCTTGGAGCTCCAGCTCTGATACCCACAGCATCATCTCTGGGCCTGCAGCAGGTGTTTCTCAAGGTAGCAAAAGTGGCCCTTGGAGAAGAGGTTTAGGTGATGTTCTTTGGGGTGAGTTCATTGCTGAGATATATCCTGGTGGGACCTCATTTCCCCTTCTCCCCCCTTGAAATTGCTGCCCTTTTCTACCTGCTTTGTAGGGCAGGAGGAGCACAGAGGAAGGCTTAATTCCCCCCCACCCCCCACACCTTCATGGGATGCCTGTAATCCTTCAGGTATGGAGGATGGTTTCACACTGGTGGGAGGATTTGTTTCCATACTAATTTAAATAACCATTGTTCAATGCCAAACCTAACTTCAAAGTTACTTTTGCTCCCTCAAATGTGTATGCACTCACACTGCAATCCTATATATCTAAAGAACTCACTGGAACTTATTTCCAGAAAAGCATGACTAGGATAGCAGTGCTGAAGGGCAACCATATGCATATGGAATCAGACAAAAACATCCTATAACTCCCAGCATGGCCCAGCTAGTGTGGCAGTTATGGGGCTTTTCCTGTCTCAACTTGCATAGGGTTGCACCCTTAGAAAATTATACTCTGGAAGAGGATTCTCCTCTCTTTATGTTTCCTTCAAATAACACACGAACTATTGGCCAAAATTAGCCATCAAGAAATGGGAATTCATAATATAAACATGATTAACACTGTCACAGTGATGTTGTTGTTGCTGTTGTTACTCTTAATTGTCCTGATGCATAAGCTGTATTGTGGGCAAGAAGCTACTATTAGGATAGAATATGGAGAAACAGAATAGTTTCCTGTAGGCAAATGCATCAGACCAGGATATATCCTGTCTCTGTTCAATCTCCATGCAAAATATATGGATATTGCCTCCCATGTAGAATATGTGTGTTTGTGTACATATACATATTACTGCTTTTAATTTAAGATAGGCAGATGGCACCATATTACCAGCATAAAGCAGCAATGAAATGAAATGACTCACGGTGAAGGTGGAAAAAGAAAGTCCAAAAGCAGGACAGCAGCTGAACATTAAGAAAACAAAAATCATGACAACAGAAACATTACAGAACTTTACTATCCACAATGAAGAAATTGAAATTATGAAAGATTTTGCATCCCTTAGCTCAATCGTCAATTCAAAGGGACACTGTGGCCAAGAAATGTGAAGAAGACTGAAACTTGGAACGGCAGCAATGAAGAATCAGAACATTTAAGAATGTTGCACTGGAGATGAAGGCCAAGATCATGCATGGTATTATATTCCCAATCACTGTGTAACCGTGTGAAATCTGGACAGAGAAGAAAGCTGACTGAGAGAAAATGGATGCTTTCAAAACAGGTTGCTGGAATAGAGCTTTGCAAACATCCTAGAGCAACTGAAAGATGAGTAAGTAGGTCCTAGAATCCTAATTTGATTCCTAAATCAAATTAATCTATGACTTTCACAGGAAGCAAAAATGACAGATAGATACCATCCTTTGGGCCTATTATGAAAAGGCAAGACTCACTGGAAAAGAGTCAATGGAGAAGACAACTCTAAGGAAAGTCAAGATGGAAGATGAAGAGGAAGGCCAAATATGAGATGGCTCAACTCCATAAAGGAAGCCACAGTCTTGAGCCTTAAGAACTGAGCGAGACTTACCATAAGCAGTAAACAACTCAATAGCACATAACAATAACAACAACAAAACAAGATTTTAAGATCTTATTTTGCTTCAATTGATTTTTGAAAGACAAATAAAACGATTTTTTCATAAAATGTCCAACTACAAAATTAAATTTTCCTGTTTAACAAAGAGAATTTTGCAAGGATATCTGCTTGAAAATAAACCAGAAATACAGCAGATATCCAGAATAATGCTAAGAGTAGGAGCTCCCTATTGAGTAGATTTAGCCCTTACAAGACATGTTGCCTTCAGAAGTACATGCCATTTGTGTGTTCAGCCAGCAAGACTTTTGGTGATATTCTAACGTTACACTGACAGTTTGGTTAAGCTTAAGAGTTCAACCATTCTCCTTTCCTTTCAAAGGCAAAGTGTGTAAAATTGGTACTGATCTTATTTAATGGTCTTTTGGTAGTAAAATCGTTAATTTCCAGGAAAGGACATATCCTACCCCTTTAACAAGCTCCATTTGTTTCCTAGACCAGTGAAAGATACCTGAAAATAACTAATGAGGTAGATCATACATTGTATCCTGAATTCTTGGGAATGATCCTGCTCTCTGTATATTTTCCCTGGAAGAACAGTAGAAGAGAGGGTGGTGTTAGACCAGTAAGGTAAATGCCTTCCATTCTATTAATTTCTCCTGCACTCTTATGCACACTTACTCAGGAGTAAAATCCATGTCCGAAATACATGTACAAAATTGCCCCAATTCACACCTGAAACTGGCAAGCCCATCAAGGCCAAGGAAACAGTCTTGTGTCACCAAACAAGAAGACAGCAGGATCATAGCAGGATCATAATCTTGGGCACAGTTTAATAATGTGGTGCTGTTCACTATCACTATTTAAAGAAAAGGTCATCTTAGTAGGTGGTTTTCAATTTTATATTCAGAATTTAATATTCCCATCACTACCGGCATTAAAGGTTCTGGAGAAAGCTTTAGTCAATCTCAACTTCCTCTAGAGTTTTAGATTCTGTATAAAAATCTTAGCCGCTTTCACTGCCTCAAAGGATTTTTTAATAATATTGGATTAGGAAATAGATTTCAAAATGTATGGAAGAAGACATAGACATAGCTGGTTTAGGCATTCCCTGCTATAAATACATTTGAC